GCAGAACGACCAGCTACCTGGAAAGACCACCGGGAACCACGAGGTCTTTCTCCTCAGGGAGGGGAACAGAGCTCTCGGAAACTTGGTCCATCAGGAGCTCCCACCCGTGTCCAGGGTACACTGGAACGGAGCCAGAGGATGGACAGAACCAACCAAACGCGTTGACCTTTCAATTGCCAAGCGCTTCAAGGCAGGTAAAAACTCCCGTGCCATGCAAGCCCACGTAGCGGAGCTGCTGAGAACTAAATACGCAAATTTTCAACACCGTTACACGGACGGCTCTAAGGCCGTGGGGAAGGTCGGATTCGGAGCAGCGGATGTATCCAATAGCTACTTCTTTCGACTACCCGATCAGTGCCCCGTCTTCTCGGCGGAGGCTGCGGCCATCCACTTCGCCACCACGACACCCGCCAATAAACCCATATGTGTCCTAACAGACTCCGCCAGCGTTTTATACGCCTTGAATTCAGCAACATCCAGACACCCCTGGATACAAGGGATCCAAAAGGCCGCGCCGCCTAACACCTCATTTGTTTGGGTACCCGGCCATTGCGGTATCCGGGGCAACTGTGAAGCAGATCATCTCGCTGCCACAGGTCGCTCCGGCCGGATGGCCACCACAGTTGTACCATAGAGGTAACTCTAAGACTAGAAGGTCCCGAAATAACGTGCTCAACTTTTTGGCTCAGCTCTGGTACTGTCTTCGGTCCCAAGCTAATCGATTCACCCCTCGAAACATAGGAAAAACCAATAACCCCTCATTTTACCTGTCAAACTTTCATAGCGAATCAAAACAAACATTGCGTAGTACTAGAATTTCGACTAGAATAGGGTACGTTAATCGTTTGCTTGGGACCAATAGGCTACTAAAGTGGTGAGCCAATTTAAAATCGTTAGTTTCGTATTGATTGTTGGTTGTACCCAGTCAGGGCCCGGGCCCGGGAGTGGTTCGCAAAAAGGGGACCGTTCCTGAGAAAAATAAAGGGCGACACCTCCAAATGGAATGACATTACGAGCCGATGGGAACAACAGGTCTTATCCCGGCTTCGATCCGGACACACCCGAGTGACCCACAACATGGGTAGCGCTACCTCTTTCGGAAGTTTTGCGACTCCTGCAACACGATTATGACAGTCGAACACCTGATTGTTAACTGTCCCTGCTTCCATAACATCCGGCTCCTCTATGGAATACCGAACAGCATACGTAACGCCCTCTCTAACGACCCGTCCACGGAAGCAGCCCTAATAGCTTTCCTAAAAGATGCTGGGCTGTTCTATAAAATATAATCAATATATACAAAATGACTACGCTTCGAACATGGACACCACTGGAGTAAGCCTGGATATCACATGACGATTACCTGACTGCCTTCGACAACGACCACCGCCATTCACACCATGATCCGCCAACCACGCTAAGAACCAAGAAAGGAACTATAATGAACTCTGTTTAAAAATACTCTGTACTAAGGGGACTCCCTACTGGGGCTCCACCAACCTCAAGGAGAACCCCTTCTGGGTTCTCCAAACTCTCAACTATGTAATTAGGGAAGCCCCCTTCCGGGGCTCCCGGAGATGAACCAGCCTGCGGCTGAAAATCTCCTAAATAGGGATAATAATAATAATAATAAAATAGTGAATACCGGTAAATCTCGATTTTTAAAACATTTGATACCGATAAGCTTGAAAACAATATGGCAACGCTGGCGAGGGTGGCCAGATTATTTTTTTCATTATCGGTAGTTTCTCAAAACTTTTATCGGTAGTTATCGGTAGGCCGTCTTAAGAAGGCTTAACGAAACTTTAAACCTTTCTGAGCGGGAGAAGGATGAAAACAAATCACGCGCAATTTTGAACTTTTGAACCGAGCCATCAGTCCTTCAACCTTATACATTGGATAGTCTAATCTAGAGTCACGCCAAGAGTGAAGCCAAGTCTACCTATTGAACTGTCAAACCGGCTACCTATCATGTAAAGTAAACAAACATTACGATGCTATGAAAGGTTAACAAAACGCAGCAAAAAAAATATTTTTATACCATATCAAAGTGGATGCACTTCAATCGTGTCAAAAATATGGTGTAATATTACTTGCCAAAAAGAACAAAATCATTATTAATACAGTGCATGAACTGACATAACGCTCCTTTTACTGCATTTGTTTATTTTTGTGGCCATAAAATTATGTACATGTGATTTTCGACATGATTGAAGTGCATCCTCTAGGATGTAATATCACAATCTCGTGGGTATTGGATTGTTTTAAATAAAATGGGGGTACTGCTGGACAACTGTCTTTGAAGTTGTTCACAACATTAAGTGCTGTTTGACTGTATATTCAGGAACATTCTCTAATTGAATATACCAGAGGAACTCAGACCAGCCCAGCAGTTCACTCATAGATCTAAATGCAAAATGTAGGTTCTCGAGTGAGCTCAAGAAGAAGAGGTAGTTAATGACCCCATTAGTCCCCTTAATTCAAATAATGCTGCAACTCACACAAAACAAACTACAGAAGTCTATTCATCATCCTCTATAGTCGACCTTCAACTGATTTACTACAGCCACTATTTTTTTTCTCGCTAGAAGTCATGTGAAATTGATGTAGAAGTCCTTTGTTGCCAGGGAATCTTTCGAAAACCGTGATTCGAGTTCAACTTTTGTTTCTCTTGGCGTGACAAGTAAGTGTGAGTAGGACGAACGGAATACGGAACACACAAAGGGAGAAACAGAAAATTGCATCTCTGCTAGGAGGCTGACAGAGAGAGAGTCGATTAAACGTTAAAAGAAACTCATCATTTTGGATTGAAGTTACAAAACGCATTGCGTTCGATAAAATTGACTAAATACGGAAAACAAAACATAGGTATTGAACATTTATCAAGATTACTTAAAATCTGTGTTTCTCGGTAGGAAAATTGTAAAATCGGTAGTTTTGAACCTTTCGTCTGTGAATCGGTGTGCATCCCGAAAATCGGTAGAACTACCGATAAATCGGTAGGTATGGCCACCCTGGCTGGCGCCGGTGCATCGGTGTAGATACTCATGTAATAGATGTGCGGATGCCAGCTAATGTATCCAAACCAGCTAGGTGGCATCCCTATCTTGCTTGCCTTGCCTTGAAAAGAGCTAACATCGCTGCTGACCCGCGAATTGCGGGCCCCACTGACAGCTCATAATTTGTAAACAAATAGAAGATTCAAGCCAGAATTTCAAAAAAGGCGTGACTGATATTATGGATATTCTTAATATTTTTGCTTACATTTTGTGAAAAATAAACTTAGGACTCATAAAATATTATTTTCTGATTTTCTACCACGAAGTCAACCATTTATATGGCATAAAAGGGAAAATAATTTCATTTGATAAAAATAAGACAATTCAGTCACGCCATTTTTGCAGTTCACACTGGAATTGTGACGTTTCAGATGTTGGTTTCAATAACATGGCGGCATGCAAACGGACTGTGAAAATCGAATGGAAATTCTCGCGTACCTTCTCAAATAGACCAATCTACATTGATCGATTCTCTTCACCAACTCTCTCTTTCGTTAATAACTTGGTTGCATTCCTACTTCAGGCTTTTCCGATCGAACCGTATTTCCCATACAAAACAAAAATGCATATTCAAGCATATTCATGGAATAAGTTTTATTTGACACCAAAAATCGTCCCTATCTAGTCAATAAACTTGGACGCCCCCTGCTTAGCCTGCCTCCACTCCAGTGGGTGTTTGTTCTTTTTATGTGAGTACAAATTCCCATTCGAGTTCATCTCCATTCCGCAAAATTCGCACGAGTACAGCTTCTGACCAATGTGGCTCGCGCGGTGTTCCTTCAAGTTGACATTCCGCTTGAACCGTTTCCCACAGATCTCGCACTCGAATTTGTCATCGACGTGCACTCGACCCTTGTGTGTGGTCAAAGATTTCTCGTTCGGGTAAACCTTGTGGCAAATATCGCAGGTGACCTCCTTGGCCTGGTGTTGATGCATCATGTGTTTTCTGAGATGCTGTTTCCTGCTTATCCAAGTGTGGCAGATCTCGCATTGCGCTCCATCCTCCCGTTTCAGTTCCTTGTGTATCAGTTTGTGCGAATCAACAGCACTGCGGGATTTGAAATCCTTACCGCAAACGTCGCACATGAACTTCCTCTCGCCGCTGTGCATTCGCGCTATGTGCGACTTCAGAAGATACATGTTCGAAATGCTCTTCATGCAAATCGGACACTCCACCTGGTCGTGCAACCGAAGGTGCGTCCGGAGCTTTTGTTCCGTTTGGAATGACCGATTGCATTTCTCGCATTTGAATTGTTTCTCTTCGCTGCTGATGTGCTTGGCGCTGTAATGAACATTCAGGCCAGTCTTGTCCGGGAAACCTCTGTCACATCCGTCGCATTTGAACGGCTTCAAATGAGTGTTGATGTGGAAAATCATTTTGTGTTTGAGGGAAAAACTTTTGTTGCAACATTGCAGCACCGCTTGTGTGTTGTGAACCTTCTTTGCATGCGACTTCAGATGTTTCAAGGTTTCAAACGACTCCGAACACGTATCGCACTTCAGGGAGAAAAACTCCTTGATTAGACGATCCTCGTCTGTAATTTCCACAGATTTCTCATCTTCGATCGATAAAGACGATGCTGGCTCTTCCTCGGCCTCACTCTTCTCTGCAGTTAGAGGGTCTTCAAACATCTCGACTTCCACGTGGATCGTTTCGGGTGTGTCTATCTCTGGCAGTTCTTCCTTTTTTACAGCACAACCGAGCTCCACATACGGCGATTCCACAAATACCTCACACTTGATCTGAGTGGGTGGAAGTGATAGCTGAAGCTGTTCCTGGTTGCACCGAACTGTTTCCATGAACGTGTAAAACTGGTTGATCCTTTCGGAACACTCCGAGCATACACTCGAAGTAAGTTGCTCACTGTCCTCGAACTAAAGCATAGAACAATTCGTCTTAAATGTTGGTTGATTCACTAACTAATGCATGGTATTGCTTACCATAAAGTTGGAAACTGCAGTCAATCTGGCCCGGAATGTCCCATCGTTCATGGATGTTACCGATGGTTTTTCGGATTCCAGGCAAAGCCGACACATTTGGATGGTTTGATCCATGTCTACAATTTAAGGAATTTCAAAATCCACCCCGAGATAAAACTTTATTATTGGCGAGATGGAAGCATTCGTGGTCTTAGCTTATAAAGCCTGTCGGAAAGACAAATCCAGAAAAAATACTTTTGACTGTTTAATACAGTACACGCTCGTCTGATTTTACTCTAAAGTTAGTAACTTTTACTCAGTTTCGTATTTGTATGCAAAATGTCAAAAACTGACCAACATTAATTTAGCACAGTGAGTAACATTTACTCTAATTAAATAAATATGAAACTTAACTGTTTTGAGTAAAATCAAATGAAATAAACGTTCGAGAAATTTTAAAGTTCGGAGCTGAAAGTAAACCCTAATAAAAATTACCATAAAAGAGAGCTTAACGACGTGTTCGGGTATCATCCAAACCATTTGTGGGATAATTTACCCATCGTGGATACAGTTCGTTTATGGTATTTGTTTATTAGGGAATCCCACAAAGTGTTCAAACAAAGAATGAAAGATTCTGCGTTCAGTTAAACTGGTCTGGACAGTTTCACGAATTGACCTCTTTTACGAATGTTTCGGATCTTTCGGAGGACCATCCACTGCACAATGCACAGTGGTCCAGAATGCAGATTTAGGTGGAATGGTTTTGAGCCTGAAATTGAAACTTTAGACTAAAAGTTTCTTCTGCAAAGTTGTTCCTTATAGTTAGGCCCTTATTTTTATGACAATGAATTCTAGGGTGGTTCTTATTATCAATAAAATCAAAAATCTAACTTTTTTGTTTGAATAAATTAAGGTATACATTCCTTGACAAAAGTTATAACCGAGCTAATTTATAGCAACTATGTATAAAAAAAAAACTTTTTTTTATCTCTTAGAGTGACTGATTTAGAGCTATTTTCTTGAATTGAGTTAGTTGTCTCTAAAAAAAAACGAGTTAGTTGTTTGAGCAAAAATATGCGTCATAAAAAGTTCTAAAAGTATTTAGAACAAAGTTTTTACGGGAAACAAAAGCATAAAAAGATTTTTAAAGAAAGCCGATTTTCTAGGGGCCACCCTAACCTGCTCGTTTAAAATAATCATAACTCATGAACCATTAGAGATAGAAATTTGATGTCTTGAGCAAAGTTGCTTCAAATTGATTGTTCTAGAACTTTTTCAAACAGTGCATTGGTCCATCTCAAATAATAAAAGAGTTGTTATTAATTATGTATATTAATGACTTGCGACGTGTTTTACGATTTTACGACATTAATCTTTTTTGCAGATGATACTGTGTTATTCATTGCAGCTAAGGATTTAGATGATGCCGTTTTACACTTGAATGAAGATTTGCGATCTCTAAGTAGATGGTTGAACTATAAGCAGTTGAAATTGAATACAAGTAAAACTAAATTTATGATAATTTCGCGGAGTCGAGTAAATGAGAACGTCTCTGTTGTAATTGATGATGAGACTATTGATCGCGTTCGGGAGATTAAATATCTTGGCGTGATTATTGATGACACACTTAAGTTCAACTCTCACATTGAGAATGTCATCAAGAAGAAGTATGGAATTCTATGTCGACTGAAAAACGATTTAACTATTGCCAGTAAAATACAGCTATACAAATCAATCATCTCTCCTCATCTAGACTTTTGCCCTTCCATTTTATTTCTGGCCAATGCAACACAAATATCGAGATTACAGCGCTTGCAGAGTAAAATAATGCGTTTGATTTTGAGATGTAATAGATTCACTTCCTCAACTTTGATGCTAGACGCCTTACAATGGTTTTCGGTGAAGCAAAGAATTGTATATTTGACTATGGTGTTCATTTTTAAAGTAGTTAACGGTTTGCTGCCTCGATATTTGTGTGATCGAATTGAAAGAGGAAGTGACTTTCATAGATATAATACTAGAAACGCGGTTGAAATAAGAACACCACATTTCTTGACTTGTGCTTCACAAAATTCATTATATTATAATAAATGTTTTCAATTCGATGCCTAGACATATCAAACGTTCAACAACACTTACAGAATTTAAAAGACACTGCATTTTACACGTTAAAACTGTCTTTTGAACAGTTATCCAGTGATTTTTTTTATGAATTGACAAATTATGTATCTTGACGAAGTTATCTCTAACGGATTATTTTATTTTATATGGATTGCTGTCATAGAGACTTTTTTTTAATAATTATTGTAGCACTGCAAAAACTATTCCTGTTCGCCACGATGGTGATGATGGATTTTTAATATTTGATTTAATAGTAGATTAATTTACGTCAGGCAAATATCATCTGTTTCTCGATTAGTACCACTCCTGATTCGTTCATTGGTTCCAGCGCATTATCAGTCATCAATCATCCGTCACCTACCGGTCGCCTAAGAATTCTGGGACGCATTGAAGTTGGCAGTACGGAAGCCCCTTCTTCTCCCGCCACAGTCGAGTTAATCCAGTCATCGTCCTGCAGTCGTCCTGGACCTGTGTGTGGGCTTGGAGAAGGGGTCTTCCAACCCGCAACTCAAGGCAAGTATGTTCGTGTCATCACCAGTTCCGCTCCTGATTCGTCCGTTGCTTCCAGCGCCTCACCGCCTCAAGAGCAACAACCGGCTGGTTCGACTGAAACGTCATACTCCGATGGCTTCAAATCCCACATCAGCACTGCACCGGATCTTGCTCGCCACGTTTTGGAACATCCCAGACCAGAACGCGCTGCCTGCTGCCTCAAGGAAGCCCCTGAGCCACTCAACCCAGTCGCGCTTGCTGATTCTTGTCATCGTAGTCGTTCTGGCCCTGTGGTTGAGAATGGTGAAGAGGTCTTCCAACCTTCTACATTAGGCAAGTATGCTTTTGTTGAAAACAGTTCTTCTCCTGATCCGTCTCTGTGTTCCAGAGTACCACCATGCTCGTTTCGGCTGATCGATCATTCTGCAGACCTCCAACCGATTTCGTTTGACCGCCTGTTGGTGTATTACCAGAACGTTCGTGACCTGCGAACAATGATTGATGATTTTTTCCTTACTGCTTTTGACTCTGACTACGATTTCATAGTTCTTACGGAAACCTGGCTCGATGACCGCATTAATTCATCTCAATTATTTGGCAGTCTATTCACGGTATTTCAAAACGACCGCAACCACCAGAATAGTACCAACAATCAATACGAAACTAACGATTTGAAATTGGCTCACTACTTGACTAGCCTATTGGTCCCAAGCAAACGATTAACGTATCCCATTCTAGTCGAAATTCTAGTACTACACAATGTTTGTTTTGATTCGCTATGAAAGTTTGACAGATAAAATGAGGGGTTATTGGTTTTTCCTATGTATCGAGGGGTGAATCGGTTAGCTTGGGACCGAAGAGAGTACCAGAGCTGAGCCAAAAAATTGAGCACGTTATTTCGGGACTATCTAGTCTTAGAGTTACCTCTATGATAGTACCAAATCGCGTGGAGGAGGCGTCTTGATTGCGGTATCCAAACGCCTAAGCTTCTGCATCGATCCTGCTTCAGTTTGCACTTCTCTAGAGCAGCTGTGGGTCAAAATAACGACGCCTCGTAGATCAATAAGTATTGGCGTTATGTATCTACCTCCAGACCGGAAATCTGATGCGAGCAGCATTGCACACCACATCAGTTCGATTGGTACCGTATTCTCTCGACTAGAACAAAACGACCTAGCTCTGGTATTTGGTGACTACAATCAGTCTGGGCTCTCATGGAACGTTCCTGCAAACGATCTTCCTAGCATTGATGTTCTTCGCTCGAACATACCCGCATCCTGCTGTGCTCTCCTTGATGGCTTATGGTTAAACCTGCATGGCTTAACGCAAATCAACTCGATACTGAATAGCAACTCTCGGCTGCTTGATCTCGTTCTGGCGAACGAAGCTGCAGGACTGGAATGTTCTATGCTAGAAGCCGCATAGCCTTTGATTGGCATCGACACCAATCATCCTGCGTTGGAAGTTTCCATCAACCTATCTGTTCCTCCCTAATAAAAAATAACCATAAACGAACGATAACCCAAATCATTGAACTATTCCACAAATGGTTTGGATTATACCCAGAACACGTCGTTAAGCAAATTAACCATACAATTTTTATTAGGGCTGTTCGCTACGATAACCCCCCTGCTGATGTACATGAGCTCGACTTTCGTAGAGTAGATTTCACTCGCTTGCCCAGGATTGGCAGTTCCTTGACACGTGTTCATCTATTGATGAAGCCGTCAACTACTTCGCTGAGGTCGTTGGCCGAGCAATAACTGATTCTGTCCCATTGAGGAGACCCTCTCCCAAACCCGCATGGTCCAATGATCGACTACGAATTTGAAGCGTCTGAGATCGAAGGCCCTCCGTAAATACTGTCGTACTCGTAACCCATTCACCAAACGATTATTTTCAACAGCGAGCAACGAATGTCGCACATATAACCGCATTCTTTACAAAAGCTACACAAGGTGTGTGCAGGCTAATTTACGGCTTAATCCAAAGCAGTTCTGGCCATTCGTGAATACCAAACGAAACGAGGAGGGGCTACCAGTCGAAATTCACCTGGGTGATAGAGTCGCCAGCAATTCCCTTGAGAAATGTAATCTTCTGGCAGAACATTTCAAAAGCATTTTCAATGACACTACGGCTTCGTTGTCCCAAGTTGCTGAAGCGATGAGGGACACTCCCAGTGATGCTTTCCATTTTTCGATTACCTCGGTTACAGTAGACCTCGTCGAATCCGCCATCAAGAAGCTGAAATTTTCTAATGCTGCTGGCCCTGACGGGATCCCCTCAAGCATCCTGAAGCGATGCTGTTCAGAGCTTACAACACCGCTTTCGAAGCTGTTCAATATTTCATTACAGCAGGGGGAGTTCCCTACGCGTTGGAAATCGTCATTCATGTTCCCGATCTACAAGAAAGGAGACAAGAGAAACGTCGAAAATTACCGACGGATCACATCACTCAGTGCCTGCTCTAAAGTTTTCGAAATCATCATCAACGACGCATTATTCTCTAGCTGCAGAAATTACATTTCTCCTGACCAACACGGTTTTTATCCCAAGAGATCAGTTTCAAAAAATCTAGCTTCGTTCATTTCTTTATGTCTTCGGAGTATG